AACATTTATTAAATGGAGTCTAGATAGACTGAGGGTGAGAGGAGGGGGTGCTAGGTTCTGGCAGGCAATTGCCTGGCTGGACACTCCCTGCCGGTGTGGCCTCTGATGCTGCCTCAGCTCACTGCCCACTCACTGCCTCCACCCTGTGGTTCTCTCTGCAGCTCCCCGCCTGCTCCGCCCGATCCTTGCTGTGAGGTGAGTGCCTGCCTCCGGCTCTGATCCTGACCCTCTACCCATAGCAGTGAGGCCCTGGCCGGGAGAGGCTTAAACGGGGCCAATAGGGTGCCTCACACTCGGGAGGGCCCTCCAGCAGCACCAGGTTGGGGGCCGCCTGGCCTCCAGACCCATGTCTCCCTACTCTCGTGCCCTCAACTCAGCCATTACCTGGCACTGGAAGGCTTCTGGTACATTTGCTCAGGCAGCAGCCCTGTGCAGACCTCCTTGGGACAGGAAGGCAGGTGGCTGCCAGGGCCTTGGTGCAAACAAAGCCCAGAAATCCAGCCCCAGCCCCGAGCTTTCAGGGACACAGCAGATCTCAGGGGAGGGTCTTCTTTTTTTTTTTTTTAATACCAAAAACATTTTGTCTTGGGTTGCAGCTGATTAACAATGTTGTGATAGTTCCAGTGAACAGTGAAGAGGCTCAGTCATATATATACATGTATCCATTCTCCCCCAAACCCCAGGGGAGGGTCTTCTTAATGGAGGGGAGTTGGGGGCTCTGAGGATGGTGTGGATTTGGGCTGATTTTGATAGGCTTTTCCCCTGGGAATAAAATAGATAATGCAAGCAAAGGGAAAGTGGGAAAACAAGGAAAATTTCAGATGCAGAGTAGGTACTCTCTAGATCAGGGATCAGCAGATTTGTTTCTGCAAAGGGCCAAATAGTGGACATTTTCGACTCTGGCTCTTTAAAAACAGCCATAGCCACCAAGAAAGTGAACGGGCATGGCTGTGTGTCAGTAAAACTTAAGTTTACAAAAACAGGCAGAGGGCTATATTTGGCCCCTGGTCGGTCCCCCCATGCTGGTCCCAGGGTGACCCTGTCAGCAGGCGCCCTGGACTCCCTGTCATGTGTGGTCCATCTCCTGACAGCTCTGGCATGGGTGCCGCTCTGCAGGTGCGCGGGGTCCATTCGAGCATGGCCGCTGACAGCCCGAGCAGGTGAGGCCGGCCTTCCCGGGAGCTAGCCCCCCACCCCTGCCTGCACAGCAGTGGCCTGTGGTAACCCTGGGCCCTCCCACCACCCAGTGGGCAATACCAGGGATCCCTGCCCTCAGAGTCCTGCCCAGCCCCCTCCTGCACATCCAGGCTGATGGCTGCACATGTCCAGACCAGGAGCTTCCTGACAGAATGTGTCAGCCAAACCCGTTTTCCAGTTGAGGAGACCAAGTTCTTGAGAGGACAAGGTCCCACTGGGACGGCAGTGAGGCATGTCCTGCCCCAGGCCTGGGCAGCAGGTGGGGGCAGAGGGGGCGCCTGCCTGGCTGACGCCTCCCCATGCCATGTGTCCGTGTCCAGCACCCAGCCTGCCGTATCCCAGGCCAGAGCCGTGGTCCCCAAACCTGCCGCACTTCCCAGCAGCCGGGGCGAGTATGTGGTGGCCAAGCTGGATGACCTCATCAACTGGGCACGCCGGGTGAGCCCCTCCCTGTCTCTGTCCCTCAGGCCCCTGCTGCCAAGTGTCCACTGAGCGGGCCAGGCCCCTCTGTGTGGAGACCTGAGGCTCTGATTCTCAGGATCTCTGCCCTTCCCCCTGCCACCTCCCAGAGAGGATGACCCACCTCCTTCCTGTCCTTCTGTCTTCTGTTCCTCTTTTTTCTCTTTTAATGTAAAACCCATGTTTTTAACTGGAAATGGGTGATGAAAATAGTAGCTCCTTCCCAGCAGATATGCTAACTTCCACCCCGCCCCCTGTGTTGGCCTTGGGAGAGTCTGGTATCCTTGTGCTCATCTGTGTCTCCCTCAGGACACATGTCCTCTGCCCTAGGACAGGGGCTCCGGCGCCCTGCTGGGGAACAGGCCCCCATTGATGGTGCTGTACAATGTCCATGTGTGACCAGCAGGGCTGCAGTGAGCACCCCTCCAGACCCGCAGCTCCAGGGTGGCCATGTCAGTGTGGCCAGGCACTGTGGAGTCGACGACTGTGGGCACCGCTTGGGTGCTCTGCCATGTTGGGCTGCCCTTGCCCTCTGGGTGGCCCAAGCCCTGTCACCTGAATTAGCACATCTGCAGGGCAGCAGGGACCTTGGCCAGATCCCAGAACGGACACAGACAAGCAGAGAGAACAGCTAGGGTGGTGGAGGGCAGGGGGTGGTGGGAATCAGACACCACAAGTCGGAGGGAAGTCAGGATGCATCCAGGAGAGCTTCCTGGAGGAATTGGTCCTTTGAGTTCAGGCACTGTTGGGAACAAGGCCCTGCAGGGGCTTAGTCACAAGCTCTAAGTCTGTGCCAGGTGTAATCACTGGGTGCCCAGAGCAGCATGTGCCATATTGGAGGCCAGATTTAGGGGAGACTGGGGTTGTGTGCACTGTATCATTAAAACTATTTGCACTTGGTTTTAGGGCTTTTCCGTTTGTTTTTCTTTTTGGTAATGTGGCTGCTGGGAAGCATGGACCCACTGGCCAAATTCACTTTCCCCTCCTGGCAGGCAGTCCTGGGCTGGGGCAGCATGCTCAGGCTGGTGACCAGCATCCAGAATGCCTTGGGGTTTGGAGGTCATGTAGTCACTGTGGGCTAAGGTGTCATCTTTGAAGAAAGGCTAGGCATCTGGATTTTTCTTTGTGAAATCGCCCAATTTCTTTAAACATGGTGGGCCCCTCAGTCTGCTCACTGGCTACCCACCCTGCCCTGCAGAGCTCGATGTGGCCCATGACCTTTGGCTTGGCCTGCTGTGCTGTGGAGATGATGCACATGGCGGCACCCCGCTATGACATGGACCGCTTTGGCGTGGTCTTCCGTGCCAGCCCGCGCCAGTCCGATGTGATGATCGTTGCTGGGACGCTCACCAACAAGATGGCCCCTGCGCTCCGCAAGGTGGGTCCAGCCCCAAGGCTCACCCTTACTCCCCATCCCCCACCCCCCACCCTTGAGCCGCACACAGACTCCTGTCTCTTCCAGGTCTACGACCAGATGCCAGAGCCCCGCTACGTTGTGTCCATGGGGAGGTGAGTGCCCAGCGGGGCAGGGTCGGATGACAGACAGGCGGGTGACACACTGGCCTCTCTCCTGTCTCCTTTCTGTGCTGCCTTCTGACGGGGGTCGTCCAGAATGTCCCCTTCTGCCCTGTGACAGCCGTGCCCCCACCCCACAGCCTGTCCAGTTCCTGTCTGTGTCCACGGTAGGACCATGGGAGGGACGTCCTGCCCTGGGGGGCTGCAGCCTTCTCCCCATCTGGCCAGCTCCTATTTCTCCACGCCATTAAAGGCTGTGTAGTCATCTAATTTCTTGGTAGAGGTGGAATTGACATACTATAAAATTCTCCCTTTCAAAGTGTACTGTTCCGTGGGTTCTGGCGCATTTAGTGTTGTGCACCCATAGTATCTATGGAAGAGGTGTGGGTTGGGACCTGGGAGGGGGGAGAGAGGTGGCCAGGGTGGTGGGAAAGGCCCTCACAGCCCCGCTCCCCTCCCCCAGCTGCGCCAACGGAGGTGGCTACTACCACTACTCCTACTCAGTGGTGCGGGGCTGCGACCGCATCGTTCCAGTGGACATCTACGTCCCAGGTGAGCCCCCACGGGGCGCACAAAACCCCGTCTCCCCCACTGAGAGGGCTCGCCCTGTGAAGCATGAGCAGACTTAGGGTCCCAGAAGAGTGACACCCCAGCCTTTTCCCCGTCGTCCCTGGAAGGTCTTCCCAGCTGTAGGTCTTTGACTTTACCTGGATTCAGCTTGCTCCAGTCTGCCCCCACCTCTTTTAAAGGGCCCTGGGGGCGGGGCAGTGTGGTCTGGGTGTCAGCAGGCCGCCCACACTTGTCTCCTGGGTCCCGAGCCAGGTAACGTGGGGGTGAGGGCCGTGGACAGGGCAGATCACCTGGGCGGGGCCCTCCGGGCCTTCTCCCACCCATGTCTTGGCCTGGAAGTCAGTCCTGGGTTCTGGCCGTCTGGCGGGCCTGGACCCCCAGGGTGGCCCCGCCCACCTGCCCACCCCCGAGCCCATCCCAACTGGTGGTGGTTGAAGGGGTCAGGAGCTTGAGGCACCACTCGCACCGCTCCCCTCTAGGCTGCCCGCCTACGGCCGAGGCCCTGCTCTACGGCATTCTGCAGCTGCAGAAGAAGATCAAACGGGAAAAGAGGTTGCGGATCTGGTACCGCAGGTAGTGCTGGCGCCCGGCCGCCCCGTGAATCGTCCCAAGAGGTGGTCAATAAACCCAATCAACCTTCCCTGCGCTCCCGCCCAGCGTGCTCTTTGGGCGGGACTGGGGACCTGCAGGGAAGGCGGGGCCTTGCTCTAGTGTAGGGGGAAGCTGAGGCCCCGGAAGGGCCTCGAGTCAGAGGAAACAGGATGATGGGAGAGTTGGGGTGCAGCCTGACTGGGTGGGACCGGAGGGTCTGGATCTTGGGGCTGCCACCCTGTTTGGCCCTGACCTAGTTCCGCCTCTCCTGAGGACCTCAGGGGCCCACCAGCGGGAAGGCGGGACGGGCCATCGGTGATTGATTGTCAATGTCTGCCAAGGGCGGGACCGGAGGTCGGAAACTAGTGGGGAATGGCCACCAGCTCCTAAAAGCCCTTGTAGCAGATTTCTTTCCTTTTACCATTCTTTGGAGAGGCAGGAAAAGTAAAAGCAAACACACACTTGTGTCCCACTGCTGATGGGCCAGACCAGCATTAGTGTTTATTTCATCCCCAGGTCCTCTGGCAGAGAGGGACAGGGAAGCTGGTGTGGGTCTGGACCAGGGCTGAGGGCTGGAGCCCTCAATTCCGGTCACAAAGGCACTGAGTAGGGGTAGGGGTTCCCGAAACCCAGGTCCCCCAGGCGGTGTGGGCAGCTGGCCCTTGGGCTCAGTGCTTGGTGACCAGGGGCGTGATCATCCGCGGGAAGGCGTAGTAGCGGCAGTCGGCTGGCGGGACCAGCTCCAAGACCTGCGTGCGGATGTTATCCCGCCGGAAGCCCGCCTCCAGCAGGGCCGGCACCTGCGTCTCCTGGCCAGAGGGAGGCGCCAGGTCACGGGGAGTGGGGGGCAGTGGTGACCTCTGCTGACCGCCCCTCTGCCAGGTACCCTGGGGCCTAGGCGGGGTCGGAGGCCTGGGTGTGGGTGTCTCCGGGTGTTCAAACACCACTTCCAGGCTGTTAGGGTGTATCGCCTAGTTCATCTTCGCAGATAGAGGAAACCAAGTGGGCAAAGGCCCGAGACAAAGGTGGCCAGACGAATAAAGAGAAGCCTGGGTGCAGGAGGGCAGAGGGAGGGGTGCGGGGGCTCTGGGCTGCATCCCTGTATCCCCAGGGCCTGGGGGAGCCACCAGATGTCAGTCTGGAGAGACTGACCTCTCCTGATGTACAAGTGGGCGCTGAGTCCACCGAGATCAGCCCCTAGGGCCGGCGGAAGCCAGGGACTCTCCCCAGATCACAGCTGCCTCCCCACCCAGAGTCACTGCCTGGGATGGGGGTGGGGCACCTCAAACATGGTGGTGATGTCCGAATACTTGGTCTTCATCAGCTCCCCCCAGGAGGTGAGGTTACAGTAGGTGAGGACACCCCCTGGCTTCAGCAGGCGGAAGGCATGGTCCTGGGAGTGGGGGTGAGGGTGAACAGTGGTCAGGAAGGGATGTGAGGGTGGGCAGAGGTGTTCCCAGCAGACCTCCCACCTCCTGGCAGGTCAGGGGAATAGTGGAAGGAGAGGTGACCCCTGCATGGACAGCAGGTGCCCCCCACGGGGCTGGCCCTCCATCCTGGGGCTGGTAGCCCACATTCCACCATCAGTGGCCCTACCCGAATGAAGTTGAACTGGTGAGTGTGCCAGGTCTCCTCCGACAGCGGGTACGTATCGTACAGGATTCCTGTGTGGGAGGATGGAAGTCACATGGTTGGGGGGGGCGGGCAGCCTCACCGGGCAGGGCTGCCAGTGGGAGCCTCAGGGAGGCCTGAAGTGCCACAGCCACTTCTACGCATCATGTCTCTTCCGTCTTTCAGGAGGTACATGCACACCTGCGTGCCAGGCTCCTGGATGTGCATCCGTCCGTGCCTGCCTCTTGGCTCTGCGCCCCAGTGAAATGTAGAGGCTTCATAAGCAGGCAGAGGGGCTGGTAGACCCAGCAGAGCCCCCCTCCCCAGCTCCCAGAGCCCCTCACCATCAAAGTGATTGTCTGGCAGGGTGGGTGCCACCTCTTCCCACAGGCCTTTCAAGGGAACCACCTTGGGGCAGAGGAGAAAAAGAAGGCTAGGTCAGAGGGGGCCCAGAACTCCCATCTGTTACAAGGGAAGGGGCAAGGCCTTCACCCTGAAGACGGGGACCAAGGGCAGAGACAGGCACCTTATGTGGCTGCTGCAGGGCCCAATCCTGGAGCCGCTGGAAGACGCCCTCGTTGCACTCAATGATCCAGTGCTCCTCGATGGGAGCCTCCTGCACCTTTGTGGCTGCGATGGCCATGCCGAAGCCCACTTCTAGCACTCGGCCCCCTAGGCAGACAGAGAGCCCAGGTGTTAACCCGCTGGGTGGGGCTGATGAGGCCACCTGGAGGAGGGGGCACGAGAAACATTTGCCACAAGGACCGGGCGGCACAGCAGAGCAGAGGTGGGACAGAACACAGCAGCTCAGAGGGAACAGCGTGGGCCTGGGCCAGCAGCCAGGGAGGGTGGCCGGCCAGGGAGGCCCCGGACAACAGCCACTGGACTGGCCAGGCCAGGAGGCAGGACAGACCCTGGACTTTGAGCCCTGGCCCAGGCTGTTTACACTGAGGGTGCTTATCTGCCAATTTGGGCAGTCCCCCAGCCCCGCAACAGTGAAGTCAACAAAGGACAAGGAAGAACCAGGATTCAAGGCCCAGGCCTGCAACAGGAGGGCGGGGATTGATCCCCTTTGGGTCAAAGACGGAGGCAGAGAAACACCCTAACTAGGCAGGGACGCTGGCTGTGCCCATTTGGTAGACGGGGACACAGGCCCAGAGGTGGCATGCACAGCCTCTAGGGTCGTGGGGATCCCTGAGCACCCCCACGGGCTCTGACACCTGGTGCAGGGCCACCTTCGACAGCTGTCGCCCGGCCTCAGCTTTCCTGGAGCTATTCTTAGCTGAGGCGGGCCTCCCGCGACTCCCAGGCAGAAGTTCCCACGTGGGCTTGGGCAGCACCTCGCCAGGGGGCCATTCCCCGTCCTCGACCTCGCGCGGGGCGGGGGGCCGGAGGCTGAGTTCCGCATCTGAGGACCCATCCCCCGATTCACCCCCATCCCCGAGTCGGGGCGTCAGTGCTCCTGGAGAGGGCTTTCCTGGTACTCAAGGCGCCCGCAGCGCCCCCAGGACAACCCTGCTGCCCTCGCGAGCGGCCCTACATTCCAGGCGAGGAAAGAAGGCGCACAGAGACTCCGCCGCGTCGCCGAAGAGCGGGCTAGCCTCGGTCGGCCCCGCTCGCCGGGTCGGGCTACCTCTGGAGGCGGCGGAAGCCGCCAGAGCGTGCATGTAGGGGGTCTCCCAGCGCTCCATCACCGGCTTGCCCAGGATCTGCAGGTGCGTGTCCGACGCGTCGTAGGCCGCGGGCGCAGCCCGCCAGGCAGGGCTGCAGTTCTCGCCGGGCGCGAAGATAGGGGTCGCAGCGGGGGCGCTCATGCTGCGGGATAGACCGCACACCCGGCAAGCTCCGGAGGGGCAGGGCCGCGTCCCTGCAGGGCCTTCTGGGCAGGGGGCGGGGCGGGGCGGGGCGGGGCGGGGCGGGGCGGGTGGTGGGCCGGATGGACGGCCCAGGGCGCAGGGCGGGAGCTCATTGCGCGGCGGCACGAGCGGCCTCTAGCGGCTGTGGTGGAAAAGGCGGCCCTCGGTGGGTCCCGGATCCCCGCGACGGTCCCTCCTCGCTAAGCCTCCTGGCGGGTAGACCAGGCACTGGAGCCCTCGGGGTCCTCACCCTGTCGCTTTCCTGCCTCAGTTTCCTCATCTGTCACCACCGACTGCATCAACATCCCCCTCCTTGCTGGAGTTTGAAGGTCTAAGGATTTTCCAGGCAGGGTTGGAAGTGCTTTAAAGTGTTTACAATTACTCGTCCTTCAGAAGTGTTGCAGTGGCTTCTTTTATCCTCGTCATTTTTATCTTATTTAATTTTTAGTTTTGGGCGTGCCACATGGCTTATGGGATCTTATTTCCCTGACCAAGGATTGAAACTTAGATGCACAGTGAAAGTGCCACCAAGTCCCAACACCTGGACCACCAGGGAGTTCCCTTATCCCTCCTCATTTTACAGGTGGGGAAACTAATGCTCCACAGGCAAAGCTGGCAACCTCACAGCTGTGAGTGCACGGGTGCAGGGACCCAGAACAAACCCTGACCACCCCTCCTGAGCTCAGATCACCCCCCCATGCCACCTGAGACCACAGAGGCCTAATGAGCAGCTCAGGGCACAGAGGCCTCTAGCGCTGGGACTGAAACACCCACCCCAGCAGTCAGCAGTTGCCAGATCCTCCTCCCCAGGACAGTAGGCAGGACAGCCCACCCCTGCTGTCTCGCCTCAGGGCAGCCTGGGAGTCAGCTCTGTCCTCTGCCTGTCATGCTGGGACCCGGCCCCAAGTGGAGCTGGGATGTCCTCCAGGCTCTTCCTTTTCCTGTCTGTCTGCACACGGGGGCCCCAGGGTGTGAATCTGGAACACTCCATCCCTGCCAAACCTTTTGCACATCCCAGTGAATATGTGGGAAAGCTGAGGCCCAAAGAGGCTGAGGTCTGAACAAGGATCCATACAGCCAAAGCTATGGTTTTCCCAGTAGTCATGTGCAGTTGTGAGAGCTGAACCATAAAGAAGGCTGAGGGCGGAAGACTGATGCTTTTGAACTATAGTGCTGAAGAAGTCTCTTGAGAGCCCTTTGAATTGCAAGAAGATCAAACCAGTCAATCCTAAAGGAAATCAATCCTGAATATTCATTGAAAGGGCTAATACTGAAGCTCCAATACTTTGGCCACCAAAGAGCTGACTCATTGGAAAAAATCCTGATGCTGGGAAAGATTGAAGGAAAGAGGAAAAGAGAGCGACAGAGAATGAGACTGTTAGATAACATCATCAACTCAATGGACATGAATCTGAGCAAACTGTGGGAAATAGTGTTGGACAGGGAGCCTGGAGTGATGCAATCCATGGGGTCACAGAGAGTTGGACATGACAGCGAATGAACAACAACAAGCCACGCCCTTCTGTGTCCGCCTCTGGATGGCTGCTAACAGCCCTGACCTGGCTCCAGACTCCTCCCCACAGGCCCTGCCCACCCCCTGCAGAGCTCCTGTGTCCCTCCTTCCCCCGGTCCTTTGCACACACACTCTCCCCTGCCTGGACAGCTTCTCCACTCTCCTGGCCTGGTTGCCTTCTCTTTCTGCTTCATGGCTGCAGCCACACCTCCACTGGGAGGCACCCCCCTTCCAGGCTGAGTACAGCCCATTTGAAGCTGTTTTATCTCTGGTACCTCTCTTTGGTATTTTACTCACTGAAGGTATTTCTTTAAGGTGGTATTGTCTGTCTGACCCATCTGGTACACAGAAAGTGCTTGATTAAATCTTGGGGGTACATTGGTTCTCATATGGTCTGGATGGAAGAGACTCTCAGGAAGAGGCACAGTGAATAGATGTCCCAGGCACCAGGCACCAGGGCTCAGCTCACACTGCTTTTTGTCTCGCGTGAGTTCATGTTGTCTAGTTACAGCTGTGCTGGGCACTGTGGTGGGGGCTTTGCAGGCATGCACCCCAGTATCCTTGAGCCACCCATGTACACAGGAGGCACTCACTAATGTCACCCAATTCAGGCAATGCCCCAGAATGCCCAGCCAGAGACAGGGGAAGGCAGGCTGTATTCATTAGCTATTGTTGTTGTTCAGTCACAAAGTCATGTCTGACTCTCTGTGACCCCATGGACTGTAGCCCACCAGGCTCCTCTGTCCATAAAATTCTCCAGGCAAGAACACTGGAGTGGGTTTCCATTTCCATCTCCCAAGGGAACATCCAGACCCAGGGATCGAACCCACGTCTCCTGCATTGGCAGGTGTGTTCTTTACTGCTGAGCCTCCAGAGAAGCCCTCATTGCTATTGCTATATAACAGATTGCCCCAAATGTAGCCGCTTAAAACAACCCAGTTTAGCATCTTTCTGTGGGTCAGATTCAGGTGCAGCTTAGCGGGTCCTCTGCTTCACAGCCTGTGGCATGGCTGCAATTGAGATGCTGCCCAGGGCTGGGGGACTCATCTGAAACCCCAGCTGGGGATGGGTCCACTTCCAGGGTTGGTCACCGGCAGTTGGCTGTGTTCAGTTCCTGGCCACGTGGGTCTTCCTAAATTTTCACCTTGGCTTCTAGCAAGACAGAAGTCAGAACCGTTTACAGTCTGGTCACAGAAGGACATCCTCACACCCTGGTCATGTACTATTGGTTAGAAGCCAGGTGCACAAGGGTAGGGACCCCAGGAGCCTATGAGGTAGGGGTCACTCTCAGAAGCTGCTGCCCACTCAGACCCTAAGAGGAAGCCATGGGCAGAGGAGGGAGTCAGACAGCACTGTCACCTGCAGCTTTGCTGTCAGAAGACATGGAACCTCCCGTGTCTGGTCAGGTTGCCACTTCCCAGTGGTTGCCGGCAAACAGCCAGGACTCCGTCACCAAGAGTGGCTGATAGCATAGCACAACCTGGCTGGCAACTCAGCCCAGGGGTCTCTGTTCCAGCCTCAGCGGCTGGTGTCCTCTTTTCTCAGTGGAGTGATTACTTTTGCCCCGCTGATGTCTTCAAATAAACGACACATGGTGGTTCCTTGTGTCCACTTTTCTCAAGAGAGCCTAGCGTGCGTGCCCTGTTATCTGCATTTCGCAGACTTGGACTCAGAGAAAGAAGGTGACTTTCTCAAGGACACACAGTGAATCAGTGGCAGAGAGGATGGGAACAGGGGTGTACCTGACTCCAGACTGCAGTCTTCAAAGATGTTTTAAAAGAAGGAAAATATTTATTTTCTGATTAGAAAAGTGACACAGTTGAACAAAACATTCCAACATTATAGAGTTGGCAAACTCTGACCTGTGGGTCACATCCCCTTTTTGTGGTTTTGTTATAGCATCAGTAGATAAAGAATCTGCCTGCCAATGCAGGAGACACAGGAGATGCAGGTTTGATCCCTGATGGGGAAGATCCTCTAGAGAAGGGAATGGCAACCCACTCCAGTAGTCTTGCCTGGGAAATCCCATGGACAGAGGAGCCTGGTGGGGTACAGTCCATGGGATCATAAAGAGTCTAACACAACTGAGTGACTAAGCAGGCAAGGATGTACGTGAGCTAAGAATGTTTTTTTTACATCTTTAAATGGTTGAATGAAAATCAAGGTATTTTGAGACACACGGAAATTATATGACAGTCACATTGGTGTGGCTGTAAATAAAGTTGATAGTCACAGCTATTTGTTTCCATATAAACTCTGGTGCTTTCCGATTATAACAGCATAGAGTCATTGCCATGGACCTTCAGAGCCGAAAACATTTACTGTGTGGCCCTGAACAGAAAGCTTCCCAGCCCCCTTCCAGAGCAGCTCCTTCCTGGAAAATGAAAGTCACCCAGTTATTCAGCACATATCAAGTTCCTCACCCCGGGGGTCCTTCCCTGGCCCCACCCAGAGCTCAAAGCATACTGAGGGATGGACAAGAAATAAATAATAAGTGCATGTCACCTGGCAGCTATGACAAAACAAAATCCCCATGATCCCTGCCCTCTGTCCAGGTCTCTCCTCTACCAGGCAATGTCCATGCCATATATTTTCTCTGTACACAATGTTACATATAGTTTTTAAATTAAAAGGGTCCAGTGGGCTTCCCAGGTGGCACTAGTGGTAAAGAACCCACTTGCCAATGCAGGAGACATAAGAGACGTGGGTTTGATCCCTGAGTTGGGTAGATTCCCTGGAGGAGGACATGGCAACCCACTCCAGTATTCTTGCCTGGAGAATCTCATGGACAGAAGAGTCTGGTGGGCTACAGTCCATGGGGTCTTGCACAGAGTCAGACACAACTGAGCGATTTAGGACACACAAAAAGGCATTTGTACATCCATGTTCATAGCAGTATTATGCACAATAACCAAAGGGTAGAAATTACCCAAGTGTCTGTCAATGGGTGATAAATAAACAGTATGTGGTCCTTCCACACACGGGGGACTATCACTCAGCCATGAAAAGGGATGAAGCGCTGCCACTCACTGCCACATGGATGGACCTTGAAGACATGATGCTCAGTGAGAGAAGCCAGACACAGAAGGACACACACTGTTTGATTTCACTCACAGGAGGTCGCTAGAAGTGTCAGATCCAGAGACAGGAAGTAGATGGTGGGGCCAGGGACTGGGGGAGGGGATGGGAAGTCAGTGTTTCATGGGGATAGAGTTTCAGTTTGGGAAGATGAGAAAGTCGGGAGATGATTAGGGGAGGGGCTGCATGACAGTGTGAATGTGCTTAATGCCACTGAGCTCTGTACTGATACATGGTTACAATGGTAACTGGTATATTTTACTGCAATTGAGAAAAGGGCAAAACCTATATTCTGTGTATTAGGTATGCCTGAACCAACCCACGTTAGGAGTTACATTCAGGAAAGTGTGCAGATACCTGTTTTTGATTCACTGTTCGCCCTTGGGTGGGAAGAAGGAAGTGAATGGGGAGGAGGGAAAAGCAAGCCTTCAAGTTCATCTCTTTAAAAAGATCTGAAGCAAAAGTTACAAAAATGCTAAAATGTGTTGGTTTCAGTGACAGGTACATGGCTGCTTGTTTTATCTTGGGTAAATGTCTGTGTTTTTATTTTTATTTATATATTTATTTTGCTGCATGGACGATCTTAGTTCCCCAACTGGGGATTGAACCCCTGCCCCCTGCAATGGAGGGGTGTCGTCTTAACAATTGGGCTGCCAGGGAAGTCCCTAAAAGTACATTATTTTAAACGATTTATGTCTGCCTTCCTTCATTTGACCACATCCTGTGCATTTCATTCACGCCCTTATGGTTTATTTATCCAGTCAACAATGGACGGACAGGTGAAGTGAAGTGAAAGTTGCTCAGTCGTGCCCGACTCTTTGCAACCCCATGGACTATACAGTCCATGGAATTCTTCAGGCCAGAATACTGGAGTGGGTAGCCTTTTCCTTTGCCAGGGGATCTTCCCAACCCAGGGACTGAACCCAGGTCTCCCACATTGCAGGCGGATTCTTTACCAGCTGAGCCACCAAGGAAGCCTGGAAGGACACACGGGTTGTTTTCCATTTTCTGATCTTCTAATAGTGGGGTGTGTGCATTAGGGCATGTCTATCTGTTTTCCCACTTGGGCCATGCTCCTCCCACTCCTGCCAAGTGTTACAGGTTTCTTCTGACCTGAAAAGCTTTGCAAACTCCCAGGGGAAGGACAGAACACCTCTCTGATGCTACCTGAGCTCACTGCTTTCCCCCTCCGCTGAGCCTCTGTTTCTTACCTGCAAATGGGGACTGATAAGTTACTCTCCTCCTGTGGAATCGATGATGCCAACGTGCTTAGCAAATTGTAAAGTGACCTAAGTGAGGTGTATTATAAATGTTTTATGTTATACTCTTGGCCTGACACCTGGTTCCTTCATTCCTGACAGTTCATTTGATTTTATGGTGAATCAGTTATATTGTTAGGCTACCAAGAGGCTGAGAAAGTGAGTGAAAAGTGACTAGGCAGCAGGAACCACCATCTGACAACAGCATACAGGTCAGTTTTTATCATATCATGGTCTATGGGTTGCTCCACCTCCCTTGTTGACGCGGTGGGCAGATTATTCTTTGTTGGGGGACTCTCCTGCCCATTGTAGGCTATTTAGCAGCACCCCAAGCCTCCACCCACTAGGTGCCAGTAGCACCCACAGCCAGTGGTGATAACCAAAACTGTATCTCCAGACATGGCTCAGTGTCCCCAGAGGAGGCTGAATCACTCCGGATGAAACCCACCCCTGTCGACAAACGAGGGCAGGACCATCCTTGGCACATGGCAGGGACTCAATGTGTTTTCATAATCATTGGACCTACAGCCAACTGTTGGGTTTGATTCCAGTTTTTCCCCTGAGTGAGTGACCTTGGGCCGGTGATTCAGCCTCTCTGACCGTCGGTATCTTCTGGGGCAGCTGGAGCAGCTGAGACGCGGGAGCTGAACGTAGGGCCCCCGCCTCCTGCGGTCTGGCGGCGTGAGAGCGTGGCCAACACCCGGAGCTAACTCCACCCGCGTCCGCCGGCCCCCACTCGAGACCGAACAAGGAAGCCGCAGCCGCGCCTGCGCCCCGCAGTGCCTAGCCCGGAGCGCCCGGTCGCGCCCGCGCCCCGCGCCGCCGCGCATGCACACACGCTCTCAGTACGCGCACGCACGCAGCTTGGTCCGCGCGCCCCCTCAGCGGGGCGGGGTAGGAGACGGCGCGCGGGACTCCACTTCCCTGCATGCCCCGCGGCGACGCTCTCAGCCGCTGAGGAAGAAGGCCGAAGCGCGGCGGCCGAACGGCGGCGGCGCGGGTCCCGCAGCACGCACGCACGCACGCACACGGGCGCACCCCTGGCCCCGCCCCCGGAGGCCCCGTGCGGGAGCGCGCTCGGGCGTGCGCAGGGCGGCGGCGCGGGCGCGGGGGCGCGCGGTGACCGTTGGCGCTGAGGGGAGGAGGCAGCGCGGCCGCCGCCGTTGCGCAGATCCGGGCCGCGGCTGTGGGGAGGGCGCCGGGGCCAGTGACCTTCCGGAGGCGGGAGCGAGCCAGGGGGCCCGGACTCCGAGCGCCGCCGCCGCCGCCATGAACAACTCGGGCGCCGACGAGATCGGGTGAGGACGCGCCGGCCCGCGCCGCCGCCTCGGCCGGCCCCCGCCCAGACCGGCCCGGCCCGTCAAGGTCACGCCGCGGGGCCGCGCCGAGCCGGCGGCCGGGGGTCCGGGGGCGCGACGGGCCGGGGGCCCTTGGGATTCCGGACGCCCCGCTGCCTCGTGGCCTGGGACCCCGAGCAGGAACCGGGGGTCCAGGGAGTCCTATGGGTCGGGTTTCCCCGCCGCCTCGTGGTCGGAGACCCCGAGGTTCAACCGGAGAATCCGAGGAGTCTTGGAGGTCCAGGCGCCTTGCTGCTTCCTGACCAGGAACCCCGAACCTGACCTGGGGGTTCTTGGGGGTCCCCACTGTTTCATGCTTGAGCGAGACCCCGCCGCCTAGCCAGAGTTTACCGTCGGGCCCCCTCGGTCGGAAACCTAGGGGGTCCGGGGCATCCCGTCTGCCCCCGCGCCTGTATTTCCCACTGGCGGGGGGCAGAAGCGTCCCCGCGCCCGTGTTTTAACCCGGGGACCTCGAACAGGAACCTGGGGGGTCCAGGGCGCCCCCAGCCCGTGAGCGAACTTGGCGGCTCAGCGCACGTGGCGGCCCGGTCGCGGGGGGTTCCAGTGCTGCCGCCGCCCAGCTTTACCCACCCAGTACTCACAGCGGCGGCCCCGCCACCATCCACTCCACTACCAAGTGAAGGTTTGCACACCGAGGGCCCGAGGGCCAAGGTCATGGGGGCCGGTTCCCGGTCTACTTGCCGAGCACCCTGAAGCGTCCACCATCTCGGCGCCTCCGCGCCACCTGATCGGGTATCTGGAACTGTTGTTTTCATGTTGCTCCGGCCCCTTCCTGCTCAGCCCCCATCTAAGCCCCATAGGTGTGTTAGAGACCTGGAAACTTGGGCGGTGGACTGGCGGTGGTGCTTCTGAGGTCTTTCTTCTTGGTGCAGCTATTAGTGAGAGGAGGTTTGTTATAGCTAAGTTTTCCCTTTTAATTATAGCCTTGACTAATGCTAAAGGAGCGGGAGAGCAGGAAAGCGCTCCCAGAGGAACCAGAAAATCCATTTCTGCCCTAGTCGAGGGGTTTGGTCTAGTTTTCTTTGCAGAGACTGGCTTCTACAGCATCAGCATAATTTTACAGTTAAATCCTTTTTGCGAAGATGGCAAAACAGCCTGGGCTGGGTTTCCGTGGCCTTGTGTACATTTCTGAGTGCCTTTCACTTTGAACAGATGCGGTGTTTACAAAACGCTTGATTTGATGAGTAAGTCATTGTTTGCCGTTGGGTGGCTGGCCAGGCTTCGGCAGCAGGTTACACCAGAAGACAGAAAATGCGTTTGTGGGGTCCCGGATCCAGAGTCCCTACGGCTCTTAGAGCACCAGAAAGAAGGCACTTAGCTTCTAGCCTGGTCTGTTTGGGAGAGAGGTTCAGGCCCTGGCAGTCTGAGTTGTGTGTAGGGTAAATGAAAAGTTGCAGCACTTCTGATGGGAAACTAGCCTGTGGGCAGAATGAAAGTTGTAGCCCAAAGGGCCGGACTTGAGGGGGGCCAGCAGTCTCCCTCAGCCAAACGGATTTTTTCCTGACTTCCTTAGACCTGGAGGGGAGGGAGCCTCCAGATCTAGGAGACCTGCCTCTTGTTCTTGAGGAGAGTCAGGCTGGGCTCCCTGGCAGTTTCCCTTTACAGCTTGTACCAGCCCCTGGGCGAGGGCAGAGCCAGGATCCCCACTGGTTCTGGAGGGTCCCACCCTTTGTACTGTAGACCCACCCCAGACCCACGGGCAACCTGGAGAGGCCGCAGAGTTGGTAGCAGAACCAGGATGGGATCAGGGGCCTGCCTGGCTGTGTTCCCTGCCCCCGCACCCCAGCGAATCCAGCCAGGCCACCTGACTTCTAAAGCCGTAGATCTCGGGTGTCCCAGGAACTGGTCATCGCTTTGCCCCACAGCATCGCTCAGTTTGTTTCCTGTGGGAGCCTTGTTTCTGGTGACTATGGGGAGTGCAGGTCCATCTTAACTTCCTTGTTCTGTTGGCTGTTCCGGTGCAGTACTTGTGACCTCGCCGGCTCCCTGACCATGGGCCCTCTTGTGTGTGTGGGGGGCCGCAGTTGCCCACTCAGGGTGGTTGCCACATGGTACTCAGAGGAAGCAATCGCCTGTGTTGCGGGGATATAACGGTCTGACTGGTCACTGTTGGCACCCTCCGTCCTCTCTGACTGCCTGCACTGTGGTGTCCAGTCAGCCCCTCCGAGTGGCTCTTGGGGGGAGGTTGACAGGCCATGGGGAGGCTCCCCTCTTGGATGGGGACCCACATCCTCAGGAAGTGTGTGATGCGTGGGTGCCACCCCACTGGAGAACTGCGCTTCTGCACTGGAGTCTCTGAAGGCAGACCTTCCCTGCATCTGGACATGATGGGCTGGGCTTTCAGCATCCTGGTTGTCACAATGGCCTAGTGGCCAGAGCAGAAGCAGGGCAGGTCTCAGGACAAAGGGCCAGGGGGAGTGGCCACTGTTACATGTGGCCTCGCAGGGAGCCGTCGGTGCAGTAGCCTGGTCTCTGCTATGGCCTTGGAGAGTCAACTTGAAGGAGGGTCTTCCGACTGAGGTTCCCGGAGCTGACAAGTTGTGGAGGCAAAGAGGAGTGAGTGGGGCTTTCATCTGGTAAACGCAGTTCTGCTGGCAGCCCATGGGCTGGTGAGGAAGGACCCCGATGTGTCCGAGGAGAGGGTTCTAGGGGGACCTGTGGGGGGAGCAGCACTGGGTGTGGGTCTCTGGGAGAGAGACCTGGGCAGGTTGAGGGGCGGGTAGTCAAAGGCTGGAGGTGAGTGGGGGTACAGGCCATGTAGGGCTCAGGTGACTTAGCTCCAAGGGCTCCAAAGGCGAGCCGACGGTTCCGTGGGCCAGCTCTCTGTGGAGTGGTTGGTGTGGAGCTCTGGCTGGGTCACAGGGTGTGGACCTGGAGCATGCCAGGCCGGCTTGCCAAGGCCTAAGGGAGTTAGCACCCATTGTGGGGGGGGTCGTCTTGTGGTGGGAAGGAGGTGTCTTTGTGTTCTGGACCTGTCCTGGGGTGGAACAACATCCCTGGCCTGATGCCCCTGGTGGGCAGGACTGTCCTGTTGAGGCCTCCTGTTTGAAAGAGAGTGCTTTTTGAGACCTGGTTCCCAATGTGTCCAGGCCACCTGCTCCCGGGGGCTAGGACATGGGTCCAGGGCTGCTTGGACACCTGCACGGTTGGCTGTGAGGGTTGGGGGCTGTTCCACTTGACCCCTGTCTGGTTCCAGACATTGGGGCAGAGCCTCCTTGGTAGAGCAGACTGAGGCTTAGGAGGGTCAGGGAACCTGGCCAAGGTCACTCCTGGCATGGCTGAGCTCGAGTGGAGAGCCTGCACTCCTGGTGAGCTGGCCTGCTGCACCTTGCACCCTTGATGCTCCTGCAGTGCTTCCTCTTGGGGGGTGGTGCTGTGGCCAGGTTTTGGTGAGAGATCACTGTCAGCGGGGAGCAGCGCTCTGGCTGGGGAGAACACACTGGTCCTGTCTCGGGGCACCCAGTGAAGGCCAGGCTAGGGTCTTGTGTGTGCAGTCCCCATAGTGCATGAGAGGTGATCTCACCTGCAGGTGAAGGAAAGCCCAGACTGTAGGCAGAGATCCCCACCTGACCCCTTGTTTTCGGGCATCCAGTCTGTCACAGAGGGCCCAAAGTGGGATGGCCCCCTGGCTGCAGGAAGGCGTGAACACAGGCTGTAGAGGAAGAGAGGGCCTGCCAGTTCACTTGATGGGCCTGGCCTCAGCCCCCTGCCCTTCGTCTGGTGGTGCCTGCCGTCCACCGGGTGGCGCCTGCTGTAGGCAACCCGGTTGAGGAAGCCCCCGAAGGCTGACTTTCTGGCATAGGTGGCACATGGTTGCCCTCAGGAGCCATCCAGGACCAGGTTTCAGGTCAGCAGGCAGAAGACAGGGCATGCTGCCCAGAGCCTGCCACCCGGTCACCCCTCTACTCTTGGGGTACAAGCCCAGGAGCCTGCGCTTATCACAGACTACTTGTCTCCGGTCCCAGGGGTGGAGGAGTGGGGTGCAGGGTCTGTGGGGGCCCCCAACTTCAATTGCAGCTGAGGGATGAATGACACTCTTTAGAGTAGGGCAGGGTTGGAGAGGGAGCCACACAGGGTTAGCTGATCCTTTCACCTGCTGAATTGCGTGTAAACGCCCAAGAAGGCCTCAGGTCACCTGGTGCCAAGCAAGTCTGGGCTGGAGGGTGGGCACAGGCTAGTTCCCATGCAGGTGTGTCCGGCTCATCCTGCCCAGTGCCCCTGAGACCGCCCCCGCCACCACAGATCAGTAAGATCTCCTAGGACCTCCTGTCTGCAGGCGGGGAGCAACAGGAGAGAAAATAGATGAAGCCCCAACACAGTGATGGGCCTGGGCTCTGCAGTTCGTCCCCAGCGTTGTGCCCTGTGCCAACCAAGCCCTGGCACTTCCTCAGTTTTCACCTCCTAGTTTTTGTAACTTGGGGCCCGCAGAGCAGTGACAGGAACAGAAGTGCAGTCCCCCGCCCTCCTCAGGTGGGCCAGCATGCCTCTGCGGACACTCCACTGTGTCCTGTTTTCCAAACCCAGCGAGGTGATAGCATCAGAAAGCCCCCGTGTCCATGTTGGCTCCCTGGCCAACTCGCAGTGCGAATTCCGGTATTGTCAGCTGCACAGAGGATGGCCTTTCTGTCTTTTTCCACTAATGTCTGATTTTGAAATTTAAACACGGGCTGGAGCCTGGACTGGTCAGACCAGTTCCACCCTCTGCAGCAGCAGGGGGTTGGGTGGCTCGGAGGGACACCACTGAGGCCTTCCCATCTTGGTCAGATGCAGGCTAAGCAGGCAGGTATTCCTCTCAGTTGGGGTTTGTCCTGGGTGTTCTGAGGATGCTCAAGATTTTTTTTACTCTCCAAGCTGCTTTTCCACAGCAAACCCATTTGTGCCTATGCCAAAGGCCTGAGCAGAGAGGCAGTCCACACCGGCCTGGGCCAGCTCAAGTCCTTCTGTCATTTGCCCGCCTTGGTGTCAGGTGCTGGGGTAGGGGGGCACAGATGGGACTTATGCTCCCCAGGGTCTTAGGGAGCAGGAGGAGCCTGCCTGACCTCCCAGGGGTGTGTAGGGGACGGACAGAATGGTCAGGAGGCTGGGTGTGAGCCCCCTGGCCTCCATCCAGGAACACGCCCTGAATGTATATGGGGGTGAGGGGCTACCACCCCAAGTGGGGTGGGAAAATTGTTTCTTCTACCCTGAGCCTCTCTCCCCCAGGGAGAGAGCCGCAGTGGGAGGGACCCCTGAGTACAGCTGAGTACAGCTGAAGCCACCTGGTGGGTCTGTCCCTGTGCCCCGGCTGCTGGTTCTGGGGGCTCAGTGCAGCCAGCCTCAAGGGGCTGTTTTGTCTCCAGGCTGTGATCCAAGGGGGGATTGCCTGTGGACCAGATAGCGCCCAGATGCCACTCTTGAGAGTGCCAGTTTCACTCCTTTTTCTGGGGCAACAGGCAGGATGGAGAGTGCCCTGCTTTGCCTACTGGTCACACCTGCCCCAGCTGGAACCCACAGCACAGGGCATCTCTCCTTTTAGCCAGCCTAAGCGTGGCACGCACTGGTGGGCTCCCAGGTTCTGGACCCAACCTGAGGTGTGTAGACACCAGGCAGAGAGGCTCTGAGAACGGCGGCTCCAGGGAGGCCACCAGTACTTTTCCTCTCATAGTAGGGCTCTGGTTTGAAAATACAGCCTAAGCCACTCGGCTGAGTCCGAGCTCCAGGGTCCTCCCCAGCGATTGGTGGTGCTTACTCATACCCATGTACTGGGTACCCCTGCTTTGTCCTAAAGCCCCACCGCTGCTGCCCGTTGAGTTTGCCATATGGGGTCTCAGATGTGGACCTTGAAGTGTTCAGTGTTTGCAGAGCAGTTGGGAAGGGGCTGTGTGATCCCACTCCCGCACTGGCAGGGCTGGGGCTGGCAGTCTTTCTTACTGTGGTTGAGGTCAAAATTTGTGTGCGGCTCTGGATGTTGTGACTCATACTCCGGCCGTTTGGGCAGATTCTGGTGGCATTTTTCATGCCATACCATGGCCATACCCCCAGGTGACCACCCTAGGGGGAGCCCTATGGGCAGCCCTGCAGGCAGATCCCTCTGTGGCCGTTGGCCGTTCCATGCACCTTGTGGGGTCTTGGTGCCCTGACCAGGGATTGAACCCAGGCTTTGGCAGTAAGAGTGCGGAGTCCTAACCACTGGGCCACTAGGAACATCCTGCACAGAACCCTCCTGACCCTGAATGTTTTCTTGTTGAATTGCAGGAAGCTTTTTGTGGGCGGTCTTGACTGGAGCACCACCCAAGGTAAGTGCAGATGGGCTGTGGACTTGTGACCTTGTCTTCAAGTTGTGAGAATTAGCTTTTCAATTCTTGACTAACTTACTGTCTGGGTTGCAGGGGACACTTGATTGGGAGTAGACTGGGGCAGCGCTTTGGAACTAGATCTTGTGCTGATGCTTCTGGTCAGGGAGGGTGGAGACCGGCTTTGAAGGCAGAGGCTGAAGGTGGAGCCAGCAGAGTTAGGCGTTTGTGGTGGTCCCTGTGTTCGGCCTCAGGCCTTGCAGGTGTCCCTCCTTTGGCAGCTCATTCTCCTTCCCGGGGAGATGTGGTGCATATTATCTTCCTTGGCACCTGTCCTTCCCCCTTTCCCTATCCGCCGCCCCCACGTCAGTAGGTCAACCGGTGTAAAGGTTACTGGCTGCACACTCTCCAGGTCAGGCTGCCAGGCTAGTAGCCTGTGACCTGCCTGACGCCTGGCTGTGTGTGTCCTGACCTCTGAGCAGAGACGCTGCGCAGCTACTTTTCCCAGTATGGAGAGGTCGTGGACTGCGTGATCATGAAAGACAAGACGACCAACCAGTCTCGAGGCTTTGGCTTTGTCAAATTCAAAGATCCAAACTGCGTGGGCACGGTGCTGGCCAGCAGACCACACACCCTCGATGGCCGAAACGTGAGTGCCCGGCCCTGAGGAGGCACCTGCCGCCTTCCTGCTTGGTGCCCCTGTGCCCCAGCATTGCGTGGGTGCCAAGGATGGCTTTCCCCTGGGGTTGGGTTACAAGAGTTACAGCTCCCAAAAAAAAGTTACAGCTCTGCGCTTAGACCGGATGCTGGGCCAGGATGTGGCCTGGGTGACCTGATGGGCCTGTACCCCTGACTCTACTGCCGACACCCCCTCTTGTTGGAAAACGAGCCTCCTGTTCATAGCTGGTCCTTTGAAACTTTCGACAGATTGACCCAAAGCCATGCACGCCTCGGGGGATGCAGCCGGAGAGGACGCGGCCGAAGGAAGGCTGGGTAAGTGGCAGGGGCTCCCTCCTGCATGCTTCCCTGGGGCCCTTGCTCAGTCAGACTGAGCGACAGCAGGCCTTCCCGTGTGGCGCTGAGCAGCCAAGCACCTGAGCACTTGGATTGATTCAGTGCTGGGAGCTTTTCATCTTACAGCCAAGAAGTATCTTATTAGTATACCTAAGAATCCGTGCCTCTTGGCTGTTTGTTGTCAGGAACCTTGTGTTCATCCACACCGACTGCTCCTAGTGCCCCCACTCAGCACTCTGCTGACTGCTGCCCTCCAGGGCTGAGGCCTGTCTATTTTGAAATGCACCTCGGGGACCCTGTGAGCCTCCTGTGCCCCCCAGGGCCTGGCCATCTGTCACCAGAGTGTTCCGTTCTCAAGGAGAGCCCTACCAGACATGGTGGACTGGTGCTGTTGAGGACTAGGACCTGGGAACCTTTCATTTCTGGCAGGATTCCCAGCTGTGATGGTAGACAGGGCCTCAGACCAGGTGTGTGTTTTTGAGTCTGCTAGGAAACATCAAACACAGAGACAGTGGTGCAGCGAACACCTGGGTAGAAACACTGCCCAGGTCCTTCAATATTCTGCACAGCCGTGCCTCTGTGTGCTATGCGGGCACTGCGGCCAGGACGCCCAAGGGGACCAAAATCCATAGGTGCTCAAGTCCCTTCTATAAAATGGTTATGACGGTGCACGTCCTCTGTGCACCTTAAATCGACTCCAGTTGACTCGGGTTGCCTGATACAGTGTAAATTGCTGGCTGGCATGTGGCAAATTCAAGGTTTGCTTTTGAAACTTTGGACTTCTTTTTCTCCAAGTGTTTTTGATCCTTGGTTGGTCGAATCCCAGATGCAGAGCCTGTGGCTGTGGAGGTCGGTGTGTGTGTGTGCGTGCATGCATGCGCGTGCGTGTGTGTGCGCCTGCCCACCTCCACTCGTGTCCCCACCACCAGCACCCCTGCCCACGGCCCCCCAACAACGTAGTCGCTGAGTTCTCAGCTGTGGTGCCTGGGGGAGGCAGCTTTAGGGGTTGTCCTCAGAGGGCGGGATCTGGCCCTGAAGGTGAAGAAGGTGGCGACTGTCCTCAGTTTAGGAACTTCCCACCAACCTTTGGTCGCCAGTGGGGTTGGTGCAGGCCCCGCTGCTCATTCTCCAAGCTGGAGACACTCCGGGGCACTTGGGCCCCTGGGCCCTGTTGGCCTGTGAGGCTCTCCTGCACTCTCTGGTCCCCCTCTGGTGTCTGGTCTGCCTTCAGGGACTGTGCTCTGTACAGCAGGGTGTGTTTGGAGGGTTCCCCACGTGGACTAACCATTTTCTCTTTGTTGAAATAGCAGAAAGGACCCAGGAGTGATAACAGTAAATCAAATAAGATATTTGTCGGAGGAATTCCTCACAATTGTGGTGAGACAGAGCTCAGGGAATACTTCAAGAAATTTGGAGTGGTGAGTCCTCGCCCTGCCCACAGCCGTGATCGGGGCGGGAGTGGCAGAGCCCTGTGTCCTGGGGAGGCAAGACGGCTCAGAGCACCCCACATGGCCAGTCAGGAGTGGGAGTGCTTGCTACAGACGGGGCGGCTCCCCTCCTGGGAGGCCCTCGGCTGGTTGCAACCCCGCAGTTGAGAGCACTTGACCGCGTCTGGAGAAGTCCTGGACATGGCTGGCTCCCATTCCCTGCCCACACACACACCCCCCCACCCCAGGACAGGGTGTGAGGGGATTGTTTCCCAGAAGAGACTAAAATCTTTCAGAACTTCACGGGGGCTTATATAGGAACTGAATTCTAATAAGGCAGACAGGAGGCAGGCAGGACCTTGGGGGCCTGCAGGTGTCAGGAAGGGAGACTATCCCTTGTCCTAAGCAGAGGCACGAGGTCACCTCCAGCTTCCACTCGGCACGTGTTCTCTGGCTGCAGTGTGCTTGTCTTGGGGGGGGTGCCTATGTGTGCCCAGGACCTGGCAAGGAACTTGTGCTGCAGTGCATGATGCGGGAATATGGGGAACATGGGGGCCTAGCCAGGCCAGGGGCACTGACCCTGAGTGGGAGGTCCTGGCACATGGAGCCCTGGGCCCCTGGTGACCCAGCACTGGTCCTGCCCCACCTATGAGCACCCCTCGGCCTGCTCGTGGCCCCGAGGTCTCACACCCCAGGAAGCGGGCCTTTTGCCTCGGGACCTCCTAGCTGTGGGCAGACATGCTGCCTGCCAACCAGGGCCCTCAGACGCCTGTCTCTGTTACAGGTCACAGAAGTGGTCATGATCTACGATGCGGAAAAGCAGAGGCCTCGAGGTAAAAGAGATCGAGTTTGTCCTTATCCTTCCCCCTCAGATGGCAAACTATTTCACACTTAGGTGGTGGTTGTAGCGAGCCTGGCCTCAGCACAGGGCGACTCGAGACTAGCATAGTCCTTCCCACGCAGCCCCAGCCTGTCTGCTTCCAAAGGTCAGGCGGTACAGTCTTGGGGTCCTTTCATTTTTGTTTTGTTTTTTAAGCTCATTCTTTGGAAGTTTTTCCAACTTGACATGAATTTCAGCATGGTTTCTGTTTTTAAGCGTGTCCTGAAAGATGAGTGGTTTTGTTAAATGGTGAACTTCCTCAATTATGATCATCTCCTATTTGAAGTTCACTCAGTGAAGTCGGGGGTTTCATTTCATGTTGTCAGGCTAGGTCTCCCCCAGCTCGGCTTGAACGTGGAGTTTCTTTGGTGCGTCCCACGCTTTTTCTTGTTTTCCTGAAGTCTGTGGGACAGGCAGGAGGGCGCGAAGCTGCCCCAGCCGCCCACACCTGCACGGCCACATTGGTTTGCAAGGCTGGGACACTGGGCACCCAATTTGCGAGCCCTTTGTTTTTTTTTTTCTTTTCCTTTTTCTTTTTTTTTTTTTTTGGCTGCTGCTATTTGTCCCCGCCTCTGTGTTTTGGTTCCTGAACCGCTTTTGGACCGGCCTCGTGAGCCAGTGCGTCCAGTTCGCGGCCCCTGCCCAGCCCCTGGAGGCACTGCACCAGCCGCGCGCCCGCAGCATGCGCCCGCCATGCTGGAGAATAGTTTGCCATTTGAACCTCACCCTCCTCTCCCTCCATGGTTAAGTAACGTACTTTCACCTCATGTTGATTAAGCTGTTAAGTCTTAGTCTTAACTTTACATAGACGTACTTGCTTAGTGATGCACTTAAGTGTTTTCATAGAAAAGTACAGTAATGTTAAGTAAGTTGTTTCTCCTTTTCTCTCTGTGAATTATTTGTGATTAACGATATCTCTTTAGATTTCTCTTCTCCAGGTGCTAAATTATATCACACAGGTACAGGCCAGTCCCGCAGTCAGAGGAGGGAGCGGGCTTTGCTCCAGTGGGGTGTAAACGAAGTTTCAGTGTGTTTCTGTTCCGCTTCCTCAGCGGTGATGTCGCCTCTTGACAGACAGACGCATCCCTAGAGGGCCCGCCCCGGGGCTCCCTCCCCACGACTCACCGCCTCTTGCACTCTAAGGACCGCGAGCCCTGTGGCTTCAGACACTCCTGCACTTGGAGAAAACGTTCACTTTCTCACATGCCGCTCATCACCCATGTTGTACTCCACCACTTGCCTCCGATTCTGGGGCATCTTGGGACATGAGGTCCTGAGGCTGCTCTTAGATCCCCTGCAGGGCTGCCTGCCATCCTTGGCCTGGGCCCCGGGGTGCACCGGGCTGCCTGGGCGGGGTCTGGGCAGGAGGGGATGGCAGGAGGGCACTCCAGGCTTGACCCGCGTATCCGCGTTCTGTGTGGGTCCTGCCATCCTCAGCTGTGGGCCTTGGCGAGTCCCCGTGGGTCCCCCAGCGCTAGGTGGGCGGAGGGTGAGCACCACACCAGGAGCAGCAGTTGGTCAGCAGGTGCCCCAGATAGCTCATCCCCGGTTTCTCTTCCGGAGCCTCCCGTGCAGCCCCTGCTCCCCCTCCCTCCCTGTCGCACAGTCCATCTGAGGGTCCGTGCCCCTCCCAGGACTTGATCCCCATGCACCCGGCTCTGCCTCTGCTCCCTCACGCTGCCCCTCCACCCCCTACATCCCCATTGCCTGGCCTGTCTTCTCTGGTCTGTCTCTCGTTTCTTCTCATGTGTTGTGCGGGCTCAGGCTGTGTGCGTGTGTCATGCTTGGACACACTGTGCTAGAAAGCTGGCCCACCCCACAAGGCTGGCGCCCACACTTCTGAGCTAAGCTACTTTTTTTCCCCGTCTTTGTCCTCTTCCCACCTCGGTTCTGCCAGGAGTCTTTCCCCATGGTCCCTGCGACTGTGGACCCACATCCCTCTTTGTTCAGCTTGAAAGGCCGGGATCCCAGGGCTGCCCCATCCTGTGTCCACATCCCTGGAAGCTCTGGGCCCCGCTCCTCCCCTGCACCCTCGTCCCTCCCCTGCGCCCCTGTTCCGACCCTCCTTGGCCCTTCCCTGGCCTGTCCTTTGTTCTGCGGGGTTTTCCGGCAGTTGCTGCCATGAGTGGTCTCAGTGCTCAGCGCAGATGGGCCCCCGGGGACGAACAGCAGCCCGAGGGCTGGACACGCAGGCTAGCCAGGCGGCCCGCCCACCAGACCAGCAAACTTCGTTTATACTGCACTCTCTTGTGTTTGGGAAACACTAAATTGTCTTTCCCGTTAAAATTGTCCTTTTGATGACATGGTGCCTCTTGCTCTTGCTGCTGACAGCAGTGTTTGAGCTGCTGGAACCCCTTGTGGCCTGTATCTCTGTGTATTTAGTCCGTAGATACGTACAGATATAGACACTGTGTGCATACGTATGGTACTTGGGCAGGACTCCTCGGGCTTACCCAACAGTGTTGGGCAAGCTTGGCGAGGCTCTCACTGTGGTAGAGACGTGCCTCCGTTAACGCTAGAGCAGTGTACGGCTGCTGTCAACACTAGCTGCCGAGCGATTGCCAGCCGAGGGGGAGGACCCTGGGTTTCAGAAAAGCACAAGTGCACCCATGACACATTTGGGGCTGCCTGCCCGCTGGGCCCTCACCACCCCACTGTCCAGATGGCGGCTAAGATGCGCCCGGGGGTCCCAAGGTCGTCTTTGATTTATAACTGGCCCCAGCGTCTGGGCTGAGATCAGCTCTTGCCCCGCAGCCTCACACACCGGCTTCGCTGAAACCCTTGGTCGATCCCTCGGCCCGTCCCTAATACTGTTCATCATCCTGTTTTGTGTCACAACACCCTGCTACCTTGATTCACTCTTCGTCGTTGGCTAGGTTTTGGATTTATTACTTTCGAGGACGAACAATCAGTGGACCAGGCTGTCAACATGCATTTTCACGACATCATGGGCAAAAAAGTGTGTAGTTGTAGTTTTATTTTACCTTAAGACCAAACCAAGTCTTAGGCAACCTAGGGATTTCACTGGAGAGGAGATCCCTTGGCAGGAGAAGGGCCGGGCGAGTGGTCCTGGGACCCTTCTGTGGGTCGGACCTGGTTCAGGAGCCCCGGCTCTAGAGCCCCTGGGGATGGCCAGGGGGGTGGGCGGGCTGTGTCCAGTGAAGTCGCGGGTTGCCTCAGGCTTGGTTTCAGTGACCTCTCCTTCAGATGTGTGTCCCCTCCCTGACTGTCCCATGCCGGCCCGGAACGTGCCGGGCCGCGAACCTTTGAGAACTGGTTCCGTGTAAAACTGAAGGCAACGTAAACATCCTGAAGGATTGGTTTCCAAATTGGGTCACTTACTGTGAACTCGGTCCGACCACATGCTCCTGGTAGTTCTTAACTCCATGCAGTCAAGTGACCTCTGGTTGTTTCATCTTCATACTGTGTTGCTGCCTCGGAGGGAAACTCAGAAAGTGGCCTGACCCCTCCTCGCCCCGTCCCCCAGGCCCCTGGCTCCTCGTCCCTGAGGCAAGCCCAGTCCCCCCTGCCGGCCCCGGCCACCCCATCAGCTGAGACACAGAGGGAACATGGCCCAGGGTGGCCCCTCTGTCCCTCACATCACAGATGGGCAGCTGGGTCAGCTCCACCTGAACCTGCTTTGCAGAAGACACAGGCTGTTCTAGGCGCTTATCAATGGCTAGTTTAGGGTTGGCATGCAGATCTCCGGGGTGCGTGCCGTCATGAACGCAGGTTCCAAGGTGCCTGTGTACCCTGCTCAAGGTCCTGTGATGGTTACAGCTGGGGAGCAGTGAGGACCTCCTCAGGGCGGGGTCTGCTCCAAGGGGCAGAGTCCAGCCTCAGCTCTGTCTCAAAGGGCAGGGGCCCACTTGTAATTAAAACCTGAGTACAGGCCAGGAAGAGCAGGAGATTTTTTTTTTTTTTTAATCACAAGGGCTGCTTTGCTTTGTAAGCAGGAACCATATTCCCTTAAGGAACGTGTGTGAAGACTCATTAATTTGAGTTCTTTGAAATGTCCTGCTGTCACACCGCCCCGAGCTAGCAGGGGTTTTGTTCCCCTCTGTGGAGTGTCCTTGGGGCATCGGAAGGCGGGGTCTTTGTGCCTCTGTGCCCTCCTTGTCCTCTTACAGAAAGGGGTTAGGCCAAGCTGACAGGGTTCTGAATACACAATGTTTGCCAGACTCCGAGACCCCAAGGACGACTCCAGTGAATTCATTGTCTCTTTCTCATTAAAATTTATCCTACAAACAAGAGCACCTGGGGATTCTTGAGTGCTGATGGAGCCCTGGAGTTGGGGGTCTGCTGTCAGTTGGCCCAGACTGAAAAGGCTGTGTAAGGGGGGCATGCAGCCTTACAGGGCGGGCACCTGGTCCTCCGCCTGCCTTCCGCATGCAGTGGCTCCTGGCACCTCCAAAAGGGAAGGCTCCTGGGCTGCTGACCTAACACAGTATGAAGATTGCTTACTGATTCAAATGTCCATTTTATTGCATGTTTGTTTACTTTTTTGTTAGATGTAATGTAAGATTCTCTTATCACATCCATCCCCTCTGACATTATTTTGAGTTAATTGAGATTCTTTAAGCGTTAGCCTGGGGAAGGTAAGTCTTTTATCTTCCATTAGACATTTTAAATACAAAACCTAAGTAAACCAACTGTGTTTCTCAGGTATGAGCTGGAAGCGCAGGCAGGTGGGGGCTCTGGAGAGGGCCTGCCCGCCAAAGCGGCCAGGAGGAGGGCTGTGCTTGTGGGGAGGAGCCTGGCCTCTGTGTCCCTGGGCCTACACTGTCCCTTACCTTGACCCAAAGACCCCTTGTCATACACAGAACTCTGCAGACTCTTGGTCCTCAGCCCTGTCTGCAGTGGGTGGGGCCTTACATGTTTTATAGTTGGATCTGTTGTACCTGAGAAACATTTTTTTAGCCAAAAAAATTAAAATTTTTTAAGAAAAAAGTTACTAGTCTAAATAAGGTTTATAGTTAAGTATTTAGTTTTAAGTCATAATAAGATGCTAAGTGTAGTCGTAAGTTACCTGAGGGTGTGTCTGAAGGGAAGGGGGCTTGAGACACCTGGCATCTCCCTAAATCAGAGCTTGGTTTGTCCAGGTGGAAGTTAAACGGGCTGAACCTCGGGACAGCAAGAGCCAAGCGCCGGGACAGCCAGGTGCCAGCCAGTGGGGCAGCCGGGTCGTGCCCAATGCCGCCAATGGCTGGGCAGGCCAGCCCCCGCCTACGTGGCAGCAGGGATATGGCCCACAAGGTAAGGGTGCTGCCTGCCTGCCAGCCCCAGGAGCTTCCTGCAGCTCTGGCACCTGGGTGGGCCATGTGGGATACGGGAGCCAGAATTGGGGAACATCCTCGCCTGGGGCCAAGTGGGTCTGTCCCCTCTGCCACCCCCAGGCGCCAGGGCTGCTGGGGTGGTACCTCCAGGGGAGGTCAAGGGTCATGCCCAGCAGCCAGCTTTGCCCCCAGGGCAAGCACTGAGGCTGGGAGTGGATGTGGGTGGGTCAGACTGTCTTCATAGCTCCACTTGTATCCTCCTCAGAGAAGCAGGGAGGAAACATGAGCCCTGCCTTATGGGCCCTTTGGGTCTGTTCCACCTCCCCTGGTTTTGGGCTTGCCATGTAGCATGGGTGGACCTTTTACAGACCACTTAGGATGGCCAGGAGCCTCCATGCCCTTTAGAAACCTAGAGAAGGGCCGGCGTCCAAGGAAGGATACCAGTATCCTGAGCTGTAGAGCTGTTTCTGGCTCCAAGCTTCACCCTGGTCTCTTCAGAGCTGGCTTTAAAAGTGTTTTTTATTGCAAAATGAGCCACAGCTATAGGAAACCAGCCAGTGGGACCGGATGCTCTCACGCCCATCGCAGGGAAAGAACCAGCACTTGGCCAGAGGACACCCTGAGTCCCCACTTTCCTGGCTGACAGCCTCCCCATTGGGTGTCCCTGGAACTGCTCTGACGTCTTTCCCCTGCACCTGAGATGTGTCAGAAAATTGGGTCCCCTTGGGGGGGCAGGGTCTCCCAATCCATACCTGGTGCTGATGTGGCACACCCCACCCCACCCCTGTCTCCCTGCAGGAATGTGGGTGCCGGCAGGACAGGCGATCGGTAAGTCCCTGTTGGAAGAAAAGCTAGAAGAGCAGGATCTGAGCGGGATGGGGCAGGGCAGGCGGCAAAGAGGGCTTCTCCACCTCACCTGTATGCTGTGTTCCAGGTGGCTATGGACCGCCCCCCGCAGGAAGAGGAGCCCCCCCACCGCCCCCACCCTTTACCTCCTACATTGTGTCTACCCCTCCTGGAGGCTTCCCGCCTCCCCAGGGCTTCCCCCAGGGCTACGGCGCGCCCCCACAGTTCAGTAAGTGCCTCGGGCCCGTGGGGGTGGGCCTAGGGCATATCAGCACAGAGAGCTGGCTCCCCACACCTCAGGTGAGGGCTGGACTCACCTTGTCCACTTGGCTGGATTTTTTGTCCCCAGCAGCCTGTGTCCACCAAAAGAGGAGTGTCCCCACTGGGCCCGCAGGTGGGGTTGCCGGGGCATGTCGTTCAGCTGGCAGGAGGAGTCCTCCCCCTTCCGTCCCTCTCCGACCCTGGGCTGAGTGGCCATCTGTGACCAGGGACCCAAGACGCTGCAGTTTTGTAGCCCTGCCATGGCATGCGAGCCACCTGACAACCAAGTCAAGCTCCCACTCCCGGTCCAGCCCTATGTCACTTTCATTTCTAATAGGAAAGAGCAGGTCTTTGTTCATGGACACCCACACTTGTCATCCTCCTGGGACCCTGGGCTTGGAACACGGCCCCATTCACTCTGCCAGGCCACTGGCTGGTCACTGTCTGCCCAGCAGGGTCATTCCCTGGGCTGCAGGCTGGGCAGCTGGGGTGGATGCATGCGGTCCTGGCAGCTGAAGAGTGTGAGCACCGCGTCTGTGTCTGTCTCCTGTCTGTCCACAGGTTTCGGCTACGGACCTCCACCTCCCCCACCAGATCAGTTTGCCCCTCCGGGGGTTCCCCCACCACCGGCCACTCCCGGGGCCGCACCTCTGGCCTTCCCGCCACCTCCATCTCAGGCCGCCCCGGACATGAGCAAACCACCGACCGCCCAGCCCGACTTCCCGTACAGCCAGTATGGTGAGTGCCTTGCTCCCCATCCACCTGGGGGGTGGGTACCACAGGGCTGTAGGATTGCTTGCAGGGCCCAGACTTGAGCAGGCCTGAGGTGGGCTCTTGGCCAGGGTGCTGGTGTGGAGGAGCATTTGTGGCTCGGCACCTGTCAGGGCCTGTGGGTGTGGGGACCCCAGTGGGCCTGCGCCGTGGGTGTCGAGATCTGCCATGTGCAGGGTGGGCTTGGGGGCCGTGCGGCATCAGTCGGCATCCAGCTTCACCAAGAGGTGCTCACCAAGTAGGTGTTGGAGACCAGGGTCTGTGGCCCGTGAGAGCAGCTCGAATGGGGGTGGGGTGGCATGGGGCTCTCTTGTGCTGAACAGATGCCCCCCCAGCACCCCCACATCTCGGGCTCTTGTGCCCTCAGGGCCTTGCCCGGCTGTGGTCATGTGGGTTCTCGCCTCACCCAGAGCAGATCACCGTGGTGGCGGGTGCAGTGTTGCTGACCCCTGGGGGGGTGTACGAGCGACTGAGCAAGCATGTGCCCCCCAACCCCCTGCTCCTCTGCCAAGGCCGCCCGGGGCAGTCACCCTGGTCTCATCTCTCGCCAGGCCTGGGTACCTCTTCTCCAGAGCCGCCAGGCTTCGGCCCACACTTTGTTTACACTCTTTTGGTCAGGCTGAGCAGTGATGTGGCCTAGGTAGGTGGTGCCTCCTCCTCCATGGTCCCCACTGCCTGCGCCCGGGCCACGGACGGCACCTCCTCTGCCGTTCTGGGCGGGGGTGGACTCGGCGGTGCCCTCGGGGACGGGCCCTTGCCAGGGTGAGGATCTCAACTGGCCACCACCCCACTGGCCCTGGAGCTCTGCCCCCATGGTCGGCACCACCGGCCCAGGGGGCCTTGTGGGGCGGGTTGGCCCTGCTCAAAGGAGGGGCAGCACTGTTGGGGTCCAAGCTCTGCAGCTCAGCCTGATCTGTAATGTTTCTTCAAATCCTGGAATCTGCCACGTCCACCCTGAGTTCCACTGGAGAACAAACTTTGTAGGAGCCCGTGGTCCCCCAGGTCTGGCCAGGTGTCTGTTTCCAAGCTCGAAGGCCTCGCCAATCGCGAGGGTGCGCCGCAGGCCCCCAGCCCCGAGACAGGGCAGGAAGTGGGGGAAGGGGTCTCGGAGCTGCTCTCCTTTCTGTGAAGATGGCTGCCCGGGTCCCACCCCAGCTCACCGGGCTCTTCCCTGCAGGTTACGGACAGGACTTGGCCAGCTTCGGACAGGGCTTCTCAGACCCTAGCCAGCAGCCCCCCTCCTATGGGGGCCCCTCGGTGCCTGGCTCAGGGGGTCCCCCCGCTGGCGGAAGTGGCTTTGGACGCGGTCAGAACCACAACGTACAAGGATTCCATCCCTACCGACGCTAGCTGCGGCCCCTCCTTGTGAACGGCAGGCGGCTGAGACCAGGATTCAAACTTGTGAACTCGTGACAATCACAAACTTGGTGGAAATACCGACTCGACCGTGGGGGGAGGGGGGGAGGCTTTTGGCGGTGGCTGTGGGTACCTGGACTGAGGTTTTTAAATATATTTCTTTCTCTAACCCATCAGCACAATAAAAAAAAAGTCACTGGTTCAACAACAGGGTTTAAAAAAAATTCTTCAGCTTTAATTCAAAACTTCAGGTTTCTTTTTCTTCCTTTTTTTTTTGGAAATTATTTTCCTGAGCCTTTATTTTACCGTATATTGTAAACTTTTATGTTAAAGAAAAAAATATACATTTACAAATTGTGAGATTTTTAAGAGAAATTTTCTACGATGTATACTCGCTTATTTTTTAATTTAAAACAGGGTTTCCGTCGGCACTGGTGGAGGTGAGGGGCGTTTTTAGTCCCTCGCTCCTGGCTTTGAGGGTTGGGACTTGGTCCAGAAACTCTGGGAGCATAAAGAAGAAATCTACTGAGTGTGTTTTGTTTTTTGTTTTCTTCTCTGCTTTTGTCGACTGGCGTGCCTGGCCATATCTGCAGGTGCGTTGTGGGGCCACTCCCGCCTGTGTCCGCCCGCCATCCAGAACCAGGGGGCCAGGCTGGCCCATCTCCCGTGCTCGGGGCTTCAGGGCATCCGCGCTGACCAGTTTGAATAAAGAAAGTGCGTTTGGACTAGAAACCCACGTTGTGTCCGTCTTTCCCTCTGCTGGGAGTAGTCCCTTCCCGTGCGGGGAGCTGGGCCCTCCTCAGCAGGTATGGGGGTCTTGGGGTCTGGAGCCTGGGGTTGGGGGCCTGCTCAGAGCTGCAGACACCCTGTGAGGGGCCTTGGGCGCTGGGGTCCATTGAGCCACTTGCTGGTGCCGAGGAAGAAGCGTTTAGACAGATCTGGGTGGGGCTTGCCAGGTCCCTTGCACCCCTGCGGAAGTGACACCTGGACTGTGACTTCAGGCAGGCTGCTTACCTTTCCAGGCATTGGCTGTGGGCAGGGGTGGTGGGACTCCCAGTTCGGGGCCTATGGGGTGCAGCTCGTGGAGCTGAAGGTCATGGTGGTGGGCCAGGAACCTGGGGGCAGGGAATGAGGTGGGATGAGCTCCCACCTGCAGAGTTCCCCCTGCCAGCCATGTGAAAGGATGGGGCTGTCACTTCACTGTAAAAATCACAAGCAAGATTGTAGGAAAAAAGTTATTTGAAAATGTCCTAGATGGCTCCAGTGTGCTGGATTGGAGATAATGCATTGAACTCAAATAGCCAGAAAGCCCTGCCCCAACCAACAGACCAGCTCAGAGAGCTGGGAAGAAAGGCACCTTCTCCCCTAGACCCAAAATGCCCCTCTTTCTGTTCCTTCTACATGTCACATCTCTTTTAGTCCTCAGACCACTGCTTTCTTGCATTAAATGAATATTTTCTAGTTAATATTTTAATTCTTTCAATGATTCTTTTTCATTGTAGTTTTGAGGTTTTTAGAGTACCATATGCACCTGTTTGGTTGCTTATCATGACAAAATTTAAGATTGGTCATTTTTAACCATTTCTAAGTACACAGCTCAGTGGCATTAAGCACACAGTCACATTGTTGTGCAGCCATCCCCACCATAATCTCTAGAACTTTCTCATCATCCCAAACTGAAATCTCACCCTCCTCCAGCCCCAGTCCCCCACGATCTACTTTCTATGGATCTGAGTCCTCTAGGGACCTCTTCTGAGTGAAGCTATGCAGTATTTGTCCTCTGTTTGGGTTCTCACACTGATGTCTTCCAGGTCCATCCACATTGTAGCAGGTGTCAAAATGTCCTTCCTTTTCAAGGCTGTGTGGACTATGAACCACATTGTTTATCCATCATCCATTGATGGGCACCAGTTGTTTCCACCTTTTGTCAATCATGCTGGTGTGAACAGGCATGTGCAAATCTGTTTGAGTCCCTGCTTTCAGTTCCTCGGGGTGTGCACCCAGGAGTGGAATTGCTGACATCATGGAACAACACACATCTTAACGTACCAGAATCACCTTTGGATGGACACTGTTCCACTGAATATTGACAAAGTATGCCTGGCATGTTGTGGTTCATGGGGTCACAAAGAGTCGGACACGACTGAGTGACTGAACTGAACTGAACCCCTATATACTTCTTGTCTCTTGTCCTGTTCTCGGTATTGTTAGATATATTATCCCCCTATGTGTTGCAAACCTAACACTTTATATAATTCTGTCTGTTAAAGGCTTGCAGGTCCTTATCAGGGATGCCATTTCTAACCATCTGTGCAAAGCCAGTGTCCCACCCTCTTGGCTCAGATATCTGTATGACCTTGTCCCTTACAGGTCTGCCTCGTCTGTGCTCCCTGTGGAGCCAGCCAGAACCCCAGACAGCGCCTCCTGCAAACAGGCACTCCGTAAACACTTTTAAATATGGGTTTTATTATAGAGGTTATGCAGCACCAATATGAGTTTTCAAAATGGGCAGAGACAAGTCACACGTGCCCCAGTTGAAGAAGGGGCTCCCATACACTAGGCAGTCAGCTCCAGCCTGGGGGTTCCAGCAGTGGAGGGCAACTGTTGTTCAGTCACTCAATAGTGTCCGACTCTGCAACCCCATAGACTGCAGGACGCCTGGCTTCCCTGTCCTTCACTATCTTCTGAGTTTGTTCAAATCTTGTGTCCATCAAGTCGGTGGTACTATCCAATCATCTCCTCTGTTGCCCGCTTCTCCTGCCTGCAATCTTTCCCAGGATCCTTGATGCTTTTCCAATGAGTGGGCTCTTCGCATCAGATAGCCAAAGTACTGGAGTTTCAGCTTCAGCATCAGTCCTTCCAATGCATATTCAGGGTTGATTTCTTTAGGATTGACTGGTTTGATCTCCTTGCTGTTCAAGGGATTCTCAAGAGTGTTCTTGGAAAATGCAATGGCATCCCACTCCAGTACTCTTGCCTGGAAAATCGCATGGACGGAGGAGCCTTGGTAGGCTGCAGTCCATGGGGTCGCTAAGAGTCGGACACGACTGAGCAACTTCATTTTCACTTTTCACTTTCCTGCATTGGAGGAGGAAATGGAAATCCCCTCTAGTGTTCTTGCCTGGAGAATCCCAGGGACGGGGGAGCCTCGTGGGCTGCCGTCTATGGCGTCGCAGAGTCGGAAACGACTGAAGCGACTTAGCAGCAGCAGCAAGAGTGTTCTCCAGCACAATTCGAAAGCATTCATTCTCTGGCGCTTAGTCTTCTTTATGGTCCACCTCGCACATCCGTACATGACTACTGGAAAAACCATAGCTGTGATTATGCAGATCTTTGTCTCTGCTTTTTAATTCGAGGTCCAGTTTGGTCACGCCGGCGTGGCTCTTTTATTCTTCGGAGACAGAGTTCTGACCTCCGGACAGCAGACGGCGCGCGTCCTCTGTCGGGAAAGCGGAAGCGTCTGCGCGCGCAGGCCGGGGGCGGGGCATTGAGACACCGCGATAACTGCGCTGGCGCAGAACGAAAGATCTTTTCTGAAGAACCGGCAAGATGGTGAGTGTTACATCCTCCTTGTGTGTTCCGGGTTCATCCGGTGCCATCCGAGCTCTGGCCCGCAGCGGAGGCAGAGGTCAAGCCCCGAGGCTGCTGGCTTCTCCTGCAGGCCTCTGGAACCGCCGGATATGGGGGTGCGGGGCGGGCTTGCTGGTTGTCAGGATGACTCGGGGCAGGGAAGGCCTGTGTCTGCCCTCTTGTCCCAGCCGAGCCCCCGTACCCCGGTGCGTGCCCACGGGCTCCCATACCAGGAGCGCCGCGCGGTTTTCCGCGGGAGCCGCGGGCCTATTGACCTTGTCGTGGGGACTGGGGGTGGATCTCGGGGCCCCGCTCACCCCCGGCCCGGCCCGCACAGGCGGAAGTGGAACAGAAGAAGAAGCGGACCTTCCGCAAGTTCACCTACCGCGGCGTAGACCTCGACCAGCTGCTGGACATGTCCTAGTAAGTGGCGGCAGGTCAGGGGGTTGGCGGCTGGAGGGGTCCCCATGGTGGGTTGGGGGCTGCAGCCTTACCTGCGACCGTGGACCGTGTGTAGGTGAGAGGGCGGGGCTGCGTGCCGATAAAAATGAATCCTTGAGGCTTGAACTGAACAGGTTTCCACGAGTCCCTTTTGGACATCTTGGCGTCCACTCGGACATGTAAAAGCCGCTCTAGCCCGCGAGCATTATAAGATAGGCTAGCCGCGACTGGGATTTGGCATGTGGGCGGGAGTTTGGCGACCCTTGCTCTAAGGTTTGGCCAGAGCTGGAAACTTCTAGGCAGGGTGGGTGCGAAGCCCGAGCCCCGGATGGGAAGGGAAGCTTGTGAAGCCAGGGACGCCCTTTCTCCTAGAGGTGTGCGCGGTCTGGGGCGGAGGGGCCGGTTTCGTAGGGGGCACGACATAGGGTCCTCATCGGCCGGGGTCTTCTTAGGGTGACCCCACTGCTGGGTTCTTCAGGCTAGCAGAACAGAGCAGGGTGCCCGCGAGTTTGCAACTCACCGAGTCACCTGTTTCCCGGCTCGGCTTCCTCGTTTGTAGATAGCGGAGCGGGGATTCTTGAACTGGAGGGCTTCTCCCGCGCGAACGTTCGAAGCGGGTGTTGTGGGCCCCGGCCGGGCGGGAAACGTTGCTCTCGCAGCTCCTCGTGAAGCAGGAGTGTTCCTGGTGGGCTGTGAGGCTGGGCCGGGGCTCAGACCGCCCTCTCTATGCCCTCGCCCGCAGTGAGCAACTGATGCAGCTATACAGTGCGCGCCAGCGACGGCGGCTGAACCGCGGCCTGCGGAGGAAGCAGCACTCGCTGCTGAAGCGGCTGCGCAAGGCCAAGAAAGATGCGCCGCCCATGGAGAAGCCCGAGGTCGTGAAGACGCACCTGCGCGACATGATCATTCTGCCCGAGATGGTGGGCAGCATGGTGGGCGTCTACAACGGCAAGACCTTCAACCAGGTGGAAATCAAGGTGCGTGTGGGCTGCGCTGGGCCCGGGGGTGGGGCCCTGCCACCGTCCCTCTGCTGACTATCCCGCACCCTTCCTCTGCAGCCTGAGATGATCGGCCACTACCTGGGCGAGTTCTCCATCACCTACAAGCCCGTGAAACACGGCCGGCCCGGTATCGGGGCTACCCATTCCTCCCGCTTCATCCCCCTCAAGTAACCTGCTGGCCAATAAAAGCAGAGATTTCTCTAGTCCTGAGTGCGACCTGTTTTTACTTCCCGTGGGTGCTGTGACCCATCGAGGCTCCCAGGAATGGGGCTGGGCATGATCACAAAATCTGGAAGCTAAGGTGAAAAACTAAGCTAAGGTGCCAGAGCCAGGCAGCATGTGACCTGGGCTTTCCTGCTGTATACACAGCCGGTCTCAGGAAGGTTGAGGCTAGGGATCAGGTGTAGTGGGTTCTGTGACAAGTCCTGGGATGTCCAGGGACCTGTGCTGCCTTCCCCATGCCCCAGCCACTCCTGGACTGAAGGGAGCATTTCCCCTTCTGGAGCCCCTCTTCCCGAGTTCCCCCAGTGGGCCCACTTGTGGACAGTGACCTGCCCTCCCTCCCCCATGCTCCAACTTCTCACACCTTGCCTATGGTTGCTCAGTGCCCTGGGCACTCAGTCATGCTGCCCAGGCCTGTCCCTCTTTTTGACTTCCTTACACTCCTGATCAGCTTCTAAAGATCTTCCAAAGTAACTCCAGGGCCCAGCCCGTGCATTGAGGCTTCCTGGGGTGTTGTGTGGGTGGGATCACCCCCATCTACCATGTTCCCTAAAGTGTTCCTGTCAGGTGTTACTTCCTTCACGATGGCAAAGAAGACAGGTGCATTGGTGAATAGACAGGGTGGGTAACTGTCCAGGCAGCAGTGAGGCCCTAAGGGGTCTGTAACTGGCAGGACGAGGGAGAACGTGGACAGGACTCCCAGATTTAAGCCAGAGCTGGTGGAAGGTGGACACAGCAGGGGTGTGTCCTGCAGATGTTGAGGGATGGCCAGAGTCTGGGTGTGGAGATAGAGCACAAAGGTGCCTCCCTCTCCCCTCAGTGGCCACTGCTCTGTGCTCATTTATCTCAGTTTTAACATAATTTGTTCTTACTGTCTGGGGGTGCAGTTGGCACAGCACTGTGGGATCCTAGTTCCCCAACCAGGGATCTAACCTGCTCTCCCTGCAGTGGGAATGTGGACACAACCAGAGGAATGCCACAGAAGTGCCCACATTGTTAATATCCTGATCTGGAGTTTAGTTGAACAGAAAGCACGGGTCACTTAACAACCTGTCGTGGAAAAGGCCGGAGACAGTGTGACAGCACTGAGACTAGAGTGTCTGCAGTTTGTCTAGTAGTGTCCCTGATTCACAGGGTGCTCCTATAAACCCCTAGGGAAAGGGGCAACCTGGAAGGAACAAGGCTGATAAAAGTAAGCAATGTCCAAATGCTGCAGGACCTCTAGTCCCTGCCCCCATCCCACCCAAGCTCCCGTTGGCTGAGTGGGGACCAGTGGGCCTGACCTACACCTGGCAGGAGGGAAGGGTGAGGGGAACGAACACCTGGGTGGTGGTGGTGGTGAAGAGCATTGAGGGGCTGCCCGCTGGTTCATGGGGTAGAACACTCTGGACGGCCCCCTGCACCCAGTCAGCCTTCAAAGGGACCAACTAGAAACTTGGGCCCATCATGTGAGGCTTGGGTGTCAGGTGAGATCGCTAGCTGTCTGCTTCATGGACCTTTGTCAGAGATACAGCCTGGAAGATCTGGGCTATACGGGCCAAGTTCACTTCAGACCAGCAACTGCCTGCCTGGCCCGACTTGAGAGGGAGGGCAGGAGTGGGTGAGCATTTGCTGTACCCTCAATTGTCTGTTTTGGGGGTTTCCATAATTCAGAAAAACACATGTGCTGAAGTAAGCATGTTTTTCACATTGAATTCAAAGCGTATATAGAGGGGTAAGTAAGTGTTGTGCCCAACTCTTTGTGACCTCATGGACTGCAGCCCACCAGGCTCCTCTGTCCATGAGATTTTTCTAGGCAAGGATACTGGAGTGGATTGCCATTTCCTTCTCCAGGGGCTCTTCCCAACCCAGGGATTGAACCTGGGTCTCCTGCACTGCAGGCAGATTTTTTTTTTTTTCTTTTTTCTCTCTTGTTGCAGAGTGTCTTCCAATCACCAGATACTGAGCAAACTGGGAATGGAATGGGTATACCCTCTGCCAGGCTTGCTTTCCCTCCCGACTCTGAAGCTGGCAGAATACAAGCCATTCTCCAGATGCGATCCTGGGAGGTTAGGCAGATTTTTTTTACTGACTGAGCTACAAGGGAAGCCCCACATAGAGTACACCTCAGAGCAAATTTGCCCCTTTTTGGAGAATTTTTTGACCCTGAGCTTGAAAAGCTGTACAAGTGCAGTTTTGGAGCCTCCAGGCCCCTGCAGGCGCAAAATGCGGGTACCAGGATTGTGAGCCCCCCCACCCTGCTGGGTGGAGAGGCCCTGGTAGAAGTGATGGGTGTGGTGTCTGGGTGGGCATTGCCATCTGGCTTTGTAAATAACCACGTATGATTAGGGGACAATGCAAATTAGTACCTCAAGGGGAACACCTTTTCCTACGCAGCTAGTGATGCGCGCAGCAGCAGACAGGTGGCGCCCTATTCCGGGAGAACTTTTGGAGGTCCAGGGGGCGGGGCAGGAGTCCTTGTAGACTCGCATGGCCTCTCTCCGGTCCGCTGGCTCAGGCCACGCCACGCTCCTGCTTTGTCCTGTCTCCTGAACGTATCCTATTGGTTCCGCTCCCCGTACCCCAACCCTGGGCGCCATCGGCACCATCTCAGAGGCAGTTCCGTCACTCGACCCTCGGTTCCTTGGTCAGAGTCGGCTGCCTTCAGAACCGCTTCCCCAGCGCCCCACTCCTACTACCCTGGCCGTCAACCTAAATGCATGTCATCCTCCTGGAACCTCCCCAGGTTCCAGAAGAATTACTAGGGTCCGCCATGGTCCATGAAGTCCCTCCTCCCCGCTGCTCCTCATCCTCTTCCGACTAGCTCCCCTCTCCCAGCCTTCCCGCGGGCTCCGCTCTCCGCCCGACGCCCTTCCTGCAGAATCTCAGCACCTGCTTAATGAGGCCAGCCCTCAGCATCCCGGCCACAGCAGCGCCCTCTACTTCCAGGAGTACAGTAGGACAGGTTGTTCTCTACTTCCCAAGACTTAGCAGAGCTCGCGATAACGTCCCCTCCACCACCCTCACCATCCTCCCTTCTCCACCATCTTTCCCCAGCTCCGACTTATCCGGGACCCCCGCAGTCCCCTGCGTCTCCCAACGCCACTCAAGGCCGTTTTCCTTGAAGACACCAGAGGGCGCCTATGAGCAGCGGGCGGGGCGCGTCCCTGCTCTGACCACTGCCCTGGGGGCTTGCGCGGCCTCACCCGCCCCTCCCCCTCTTCCCCCTCACCTCCAGCTCCCTCTCTTTGTTCTGGTTGTTCCACCTGCCCGGATGCTTACCCTTCAGGTCTCCACTCAAGTGCACTTTCCAGCAGCCTCTCAGCATCGGGCTGTTTGCTCCTCGGCACCCTCCTCTACCCAACATGTTCTCTTGTTGACTGTCGGCCCGTCTCCACCCAATGTCAGCTTCCCAGACAGGGGTTTTCACTGTTTTGTTCCATGCACAGGGCCTGGCATAGAGTAGGTGCTTAATAAGTATTTGGTAAATTACTGAAACCTTGTTTACTAGTGGTGTGATTCCACCAGTTCCCCCATCCGCGCCCCTCCCCGCCCCTGCCCGTGCCCAGCGCCCAACTCAGAGCTCGCAGCCAATGTTTGCTGAATGACTAATGAACCGAACGCGCCGCCCGGCCTCTGCGGAGACACCTTCCAAGCGAAGGGCGGCACCAACCCCCGTGCCTACGAGATCTCCATCCTCCGTGGGACCCCTCCTACCGCGACACTTCCCAACACCAACTTCCTCCGCAGCTCCCGCGAGAGCCCCTCCCGGCCTCTAGGGTTCCCCAACCCCGTCGGACCCCCGCCCCTCCCCCCTCCTCCGCTCATGCTGGTCCCCGCCCCCACCTCCCTCCCTCCGGATCTCACACCACCCCTCCCGAGTCCTCAGCCCTCGAGATCCCAGCCGCCCGCGCGGGTCCTCCAGTCCTCCCCTCTTTAGCCCCCTCGGCTTTAGAGACCCCGCCTGCCTGGATGTGTGACCCCGCCCCGCCCCTTGCTCCGCGCAGGCGCAGACGCCCCGGGCCGCTCCTCCCACCCCACCCCCAGCAGTCGAGGGGCGGGGCGCGGGCTGGTGGAGGTGGCCACAGCTCCATGGGGCTCCTGGGGCTGCTGAGCCTGCTGCACTCGGCCTTCTTCCGGGACCAGGTAGGCCGCGGGGGTCCAGGTCTAGTGGGTGGGGTCTGGCCGTGGGTGCGGCTGCGGCGCGTAGAGCCGCAGCCGGGGATGCAGTGAGGACCGCGAGGAGGCGTCGGGGCACACGCAGTGAATCTCCGTGAGTCTGGGGTCTTGCGCGATCGCTGTGGAGACCGTTGCCAGGGAAACCGCCTCAGGTTGTTGGCAGGGCTGGGAGCCCCTCCCCCGCGCCGCAGTCAACCTCCCCCCACTCCCGGGTTTGCGCAAGCGCGGTCACCTCGTGCCCAGCCTAAAGCCTCCAAGAAAGACTTCCTCCAGACCCCTCCTCACTGAGCGGACCTGGAGACTGGTGGGAGAGGGAGGCTGCAGCTAGGGCGCACTGTGCCGAAGCTCGCCAAGCACAGGCGGGTGGAGGGACGTGCCACGCCCTGCGCCTTTCCAGGCCTCAGTTTCCCTCTCTGGACGCCGAGCGTATGAGTAACATCGCCCATGCTGATGTTAATACTAATGTCCATCCCACCGGGCCCGAGCGCTTTGCTACCTCTGACATCCGAATCCTGGGGCTCTAACATCCCCTCCTTAGGAGGAAACAGGCTGGGTGATGCAGCGGAGAGCCCCCAAGGTCATGCCTAGAGCTGGGCTGGAGCCTGAGCGTGGAGCGGATACGCCCGCACATGACACAGCCTGGAGGCCGGCGGGAGCTATCCACGGTGCTGACGGGCCGCGCGCCCGGCCCCTCCACTCCCGGGAAACTGAGGCCCAGAACCGCTGTCAGGCGACCGGGATTCAGGGATGCGGCCTGGCCTGGCAGGCTCCACCCCTCTCCCACCTCCAGT